TTGGATTTTGTGCTGCATTATTTGGCAATATTGCAGTCGCAGTGGGTAATCAGCCAGTCGAACTTCCTGAACTTTGTAACAATGAAATGGATAAAGTTGTTGCTAGTGAAGAACACTCCAGACAGTTGTTTTTGAAGTTAAAAAGTGCCTCGCCATATCCAAAGTACTAGCTGTAGTATTTTCTTCTACGTAGTCTAGAATATCTTCTTCTAGTTCGGGTGTTCGGACTGATCTTACGTTACTGTTGTTAGTAAATTTCGGCTTAAACGTCCCATTTTCCCTTAAACGGGTTTCAATCCTTAAAAATGTTTTTCGATTGGGCGCTCTGCGATTCGGAAATTTCACCCAATAACTGCTACGGCGTTTCCATGACATTTCCCTAATGTCAAAATCATGTCAGTTTGTTCACTAAATGTGTAACTCTCCATTTTGAACACTTAAAATTAATAAAAACTTAACTAACAAAAAACTATCATTTGTGTTTAAACGACATAAGCAAGTTGACAGCTCAATTTGTTTTTTTTTTATTGCCATGGCCAACCTTGACTTTTTCGAAGATTTTTGTTTTTTAGTGTTACCATTGAAATCGAAGCTTAATATTTTCGCGTATAACTCGAAAACGGTTAATGTTATCAAAATTTTCAAAGAGTGATAAAAATCTCTAAAATAAATTTTCTATTAAAAAGTACAAAAATAAATGTAGGGTTACGAGCGAATAAAAAAGTTCTGAGCAAACAAATTTTAGGGACAGCCTGTATAGCATGGTTGCCGCCGCCCGATTAAAGTCAAAATTGGTTCAATGATTTTGCTTGATATTTGTTTACTCTGTACCAAATTTCAACGCTCTACCATAAATGGTATTGAAAATATTTAGAAAAATGTGTTAAAACTTCTGAACTTTGATGGCCCATATCTTGACCATTTGAAGACTTTTATAATAATTTTTTTTCACGAATCGTCATCATTTTTGCTCTAGTATATGAGGTTAATTTTATGCCCCGAGTCACCGGAACACCCTGTATATAAAGTTTGCTAAAAAATTAAGATATACATGATCTGTCTCGTTTACACCTAAACAGAGAATGAGAGGTAATGATGGGCAATAATGACTCATGATGGTTTCATCGTTGCTGGAACTATCTTCTGAAAATGACAAAACGACACTTGTTGACGGTTCTGCATCCATGACTAAACTGAACAAACTACAGGTTTTGATCGCTGATGAGTAGTTTCGCGTGTGGAGCCTGATCACTAATGAGTCAGTAACTGGTTAGTGACGCAAGTTATCAACCAGTTTAGTACTTTTTTAGCAACTCCGTGTACAAGTCGCCTAAATCTCCCGAGAATTATCTTTAAAAAGACACATTAAAAGATTATCTTTCTGGCGGAAGTTTTTGCAATTGACTTGGGTACCCAGAATCTTTTAGAAAAACCTACAAGATACATACCGTATTTTCTCGAATCTTATCCGCACTCGAATCTAATCCGCACCCCGATTTTAAAAATGCATAGTGGTAAAAAAATTTAGTTTGCGAATGTAATCCGCATCTTTCTTTGAGCAATTCGACAACACCAAAACGATGCGATGCTTGTTGTTAACCATAAATATATATTTTTTCCGTTGACTGACGCTGATGCACCTAAAGAAACCTTGCTTACGACGAGTTTTTATTAGACTAGACTTTAAATTTACCAAGCCAGAAAAAATTGGAAAATAAATATAATTTTAAAAATAAATAGTAATGCCTAGCACGAATTCCGTTCATATACTGCCCTAGTAGTAGCTCGAACGTGGTGTGTGCTTAATTAATAATTATACATATAATAGGGTAATTATAAAAAAATGTAGCAAAAATCTAAAAGGTTCTTCTATACAGCAAAGTTTAAAGAGATGTTATTAAGTTAGCGTTAAGGAAATCGAAAAGCTGGTACAATTTTTGCTGATAACGAGAGTAACGTTGCAGCTGTTGCGGAAAGACCAGGTAGCTATTGGAGACTGTGAGGCATCGTGCAAAAAATTTACCGGGCCAAAGAAGAGACGATTTCATGAAATTGACGAGGCAGTTTTCTAGTTCTCTCAAGAAAAACGAAAAGAGGGACTAAAGAATTTTTAATACTAGCTCCCAAAAGCGCCTAATGATTTTCAAGAAAATTTCAATTTGTCTCAAACTGTAAATGTCAACAAAATGGTAGTATATCTGGATATGCCACCCAACTACACACTGGAAAGAAGAGGTGTGTGGGAAATTTCTTTATAAACGAATGGTTGCGAAAAATTGCGCATCACATTGATGCTAGCAGTAACAAGTGATAGGGAAAAATTGCTGACATTACTACTATTGAGAAAAAAACCATTCTGAAATCTGAAAGACTTCCCGAATGAGGTCCTAGTTAGGGCACAACAAAAAGGATGGATAATTGAAAAGCTGATGATGGAATGATTAAGACAAGTATGGAGTCGTAGACCAGGAAGATTATTAAATAAGGATATTAATTAATCATAGATGATTGCCCTTGGTTTAGACTTCTTGTCACAATAATAATACCTGGTGGAATAACATCCATACTACAACCTGTGTATGTATATGTATATTAACAAACTCGAGAATTAACAAAACCGGGAGCAATTAAAGGAGCTTCTGAACTTGTTCAGTGAGTGTAGGCGACATGGAAAACGATCCCTGAAAACAATATTATAACATCATTTAAGAAGTTTTGTATAATCCGAAGATGACGTAATATGGGAAGAAAATGATACATAAAAATGTAAATATCGTTCTAAAACCCTTAATAAAGTGTTATTGTTATAATGTGATTTTATTTTACTATTTTCCAAATTGCAACTATACGACTGCGAATCTAATCCGCACCCGATTGTAATCCGCATTTGATTTTAGAGCACATAAAATTTGTAAAAAAGGTGCGGATTACATTCGAGAAAATACGGTAATTATATGATTTTTCTCTGAAAACCAATTTCATTTTCCACTCCAGGCGTTTACAGCCATAAAAATGGATTCGGTATTGGTTGATGATTAAGAAGAACATTAAAGTTATTGAGATCTAATACTCTGATCTCGGCACCTGGTCACAGCGATGAGACTCACTGAATTCAGATTCTACAACTGATATAAATATAATATTACGATGATTAAGAAAAGAATTGGAAAGTGGGCTAAGAGATAGTTAAATGTCCACAGAACTTTAAGACTCTTTATGAATCATATAAACAATATGTAAAGTATTGTAAAAATTCCAGATTTTGGTAAATTTTATTACAAATTATAAATATCTCTTTTTGTATAGGTGTACTTTATATGCTAAGAACCACGTTGAATATTTACGATTTCTAATACATAAATAATGATTTTTGTTAGCACCTCTCTACGTTTGCACAACCCCCAGATTTAGAAATCCAGATAATACTTTGAAGATTTCATATTTTATAGGGACACTTCAAACATATTTTCATCGAATAACGGCTCCCAAGAAGTGTTTCACTTTGAGATCATATTTAATAATTAATTAAGACCTGTTCGTATCCCTACAAATAAGGTGAGCCAGATTTTGAAATGGGGTTGTAGGTCGACAGTAAATGTTCAAATTTATGACTGGAAAGTAATCTATATTTAATGATTTTCTTGTACTCAAACGTGATGAGGTTAATATAGTATAATTTGTAATCCGGTCGAAATCGATTTTCAACCGTAAGATTGATCTTCGGTAATTTATTTCCTCTCGAAAAATAATTTCACTGATGAAAAATAACGAACTTGTTGTAAGGAGTACAAATTTCACCTCGTAAATAAATCAACTTTAATTATTCCTCCCTTTTCAACGTTGCCGCATTTCTTTTTATAAAATAACTGGAGAAACAAATATCTTAAGCTAAATACTTTAAATAACTTTTAATTAATTATTCTATATAATTATTAACTCAGATAATTAATTTTATCTTAATCAAGTTATCTAATATTTTATTAACGACATCGTTACAAAGGGGTGAATATTTTCATTAAAATTTCCAAATATATTTTCCATTTCAAAATGATACCTACTTATAAGGGGTGTGTTATGTATAGGGGACAATAACATCACACCTATACGCCGCCTGTGTATTGAATTTTAATGCAAATATTCGCCTGCGTTCGACGAGACGGAAATAAACGAAAATTAGTTCGTTTGTACTCATAACAGTGGCGTGGGAGCAAAAAGACACGGAAATAACAGGGAAAAAATGGGACATGTTGATTACAGGGTTGCTGTAAATTTACACATGTGAAAAACTTTTTGAATTAGAGTTACTGTCATGTTTACATGCTCTTTTTTCTTTGATACCATGTTCATTTAATGTTTTATAACTTGCAATAAAAGTTTTAATATTGACGGAAATTACAAAAACGAATTTATATTTTTTATGATCAATGAACACTTAATATCATATCGCTTAAAGTTTTATACGAACGATATAAACAACTTACCACATCCTGCTAATTTTTTGATAATAAAATTTTCTTTTCAAATTTTCGTGTTGAATTTTTTGCAAAAAGACACTTTCTTAATTAGGTTTGTATAAAAATAATTCTATATAAATAATTAACTTACCCCTAAAGTCAATTTTAGCGATTTTCTCTCCTTTGCATTTCGGGAGCTGAAATTGTTTCAGCCGAACTGAAAGCGACATCGCGACGTCGTCGCACACGCCAATTTCAGTTTTCGTGCTACCGTATTACTTGTTGATCGAACCGGCGTTATCCTGCGACTGTCGGTTGATAGGATAGCGGAAGAACGACCCGAGCGCAGGACCGAACTCAGGTCACCGCGATGTCATGCGTATACGTAGTCATTTTCTTTCCTCCAACGGTCGTGCCATCGTCAAGTTGATCTAACAAAGAGTTAATTTTCCCATTAGGAACAAAAAGGATTACTTTTAATCAAATTTTATGAAAGAATAATTTATCGTTTTAAAACTAAGAAGTTTAACTTTTCTTATATATAACATTTAAATCCTTCAAAATGAGAAATGAACACAAAAAATTATAGAGTTACAAATGGTAACATATATCAAAATGTATGTAATGTTTTGGTTGTATAAAATATAGTGTTTGTAGACACTTTACATACTGGGTCGGGTAGGGTCGGGACTTAAAATAGGGAAATAAATTTTAGTCGATAATCATTAAGTCCAAAATAAATCTTAAAAACTGGATGGAAAAGTTCATCCAAACACAACACCAGAAACATGACTAGATTTTAAAAATAGCTTGGTTCATTCAATCGTGATTATGTTACAAAGATATTTTTGGGATATAATTTTTACAATATCATCTTTCCAAGATAAATCTGGAAGAAAATGATCCGGATATAGTTGCACTATGCAACACTTGGTTTATTAACAATATTATTATCACTAGAATTACACTCTACAACCAACACTATAAGTACTCTTATAAAAATCGCCAGTGGAAAAACGTACATTCAATTATTCAAGATTCTCTGCAACAAAATTCTTCATAAAAACAAAACAAAATAATAAAAAATTATTTAAATAAAAAAAGAATGGTAATCAAGTAGAATATGGTATAAAATAAATAATCAATACTAAGTATTTCATACATTCTGGATCGTTTAAGTAGATATCATTTTCCACTTGACCTAGAAACTAGTTCGAAATAAACGAAAAGGATTCTCTTTTCAGATTAAGCAATTAAGGAGATTATGATTTCAAATGTATGCTTTTACACCTACAAATTGGCCTGAAACATTTCAACATCGTTTATTCGGACGATATTAAATTTACTCGACACCCCAAATGCTAGAAGAGTGCTAATTAAAGTAGAAAATTACAATTCATAAAATTAGCACTCAAATTCGTGGTGCAATAAAAACGCGTTCTCGCGAGACACAAGTAATATTAAATGCAGTCTAAGACACCTTTTAGACATATACTTACTGTAAGTATCACATGATTAATTTAAAACCGACGATGACCAATGTGCTCCATCCGTATTGTTTGAAAGCAAAGGCGATGGAGAGAGGAATGATAAACGCTGGTGATGAAGTTCTGTGATACTGGGACTCAACACTCCCAACCGCTTTTGTCTTATTACTGTTTCAATTTGTTCCTGGCAGATAACTGCATCGTAAAGAGACATCTGTTTTAGCTAGAGAGAGATATATTTGCCAAATATGTCGCATTAATCATCAGCATAACTTTGCATTACTTCATCAAGTGTAAATGATACACTCCGCATATAATAGAAATATTTTCGTTTTCGTATATTTTCCGGTTACGACTTAGACGAGCATAAAACCCATTTGTTTCAATTTGGGTTTCTGCTCCATTTTCGATCATTTCGTTTCCAGCTTCATTGTATTGTAAATTCTAAAACAGAAATGAAACTTTATTAATATACTATATAAACTATGTGGTATATAAAAATGTTATTATTATTGCTGCCGGGCTGAGAGGAGCCGCAAGAGTCATCGTGAGTCATTGTAACATAAGCTCTCCAATGGTTTAGGGCAAATCTAGGTTCTTGATAAACCTTAGTATTGCTCTAAGGCAGTGTTGTCCACTAATTTTTTTTTGTTATAATTGAATTAATTTCGAAAATCAAAAATTTTGATGTTTAATCGATTTAGAGCTTATAAATAAAAAATGGTAATAATTGGGTTCAATCTTGTTATGGATTTAGTCTTTATGGCCCATTACTAAGGTTTTATGTATAAAAAGTTTATCTCCATCGCTTTTAGTTTTTGAGTTATGATTGAGTTAATTTTCGAAAATCAACAATTTTGATGTTTAATCGATTTAGAGCTTATAAATAAAAAATGGTAATAATTGGGTTCAATCTTGTTATGGATCTAGTCTTTATGGCCCATTACTAAGGTTTTATGTATAAAAAGTTTTTCTCCATCGCTTTTAGTTTTTGAGTTATGATTGAGTTAATTTTCGAAAATCAACAATTTTGATGTTTAATCGATTTAGAGCTTATAAATAAAAAATGGTAATAATTGGGTTCAATCTTGTTATGGATCTAGTCTTTATGGCCCATTACTAAGGTTTTATGTATAAAAAGTTTTTCTCCATCGCTTTTAGTTTTTGAGTTATGATTGAGTTAATTTTCGAAAATCAACAATTTTGATGTTTAATCGATTTAGAGCTTATAAATAAAAAATGGTAATAATTGGGTTCAATCTTGTTATGGATCTAGTCTTTATGGCCCATTACTAAGGTTTTATGTATAAAAAGTTTTTCTCCATCGCTTTTAGTTTTTGAGTTATGATTGAGTTAATTTTCGAAAATCAACAATTTTGATGTTTAATCGATTTAGAGCTTATAAATAAAAAATGGTAATAATTGGGTTCAATCTTGTTATGGATCTAGTCTTTATGGCCCATTACTAAGGTTTTATGTATAAAAAGTTTTTCTCCATCGCTTTTAGTTTTTGAGTTATGATTGAGTTAATTTTCGAAAATCAACAATGTTGATGTTTAGTCGATTTAAAGCTACTAAATAAAGAACGGTTATAATTGGGTTCAATCTTTTTATAGATCTAGTCTTTATGGTCCATTACTAAGGTTTTATGTATAAAAAGTATTTCTCCATCGCTTTTAGTTTTTGAGTTATGATTGAGTTAATTTTCGAAAATCAACAATTTGACGTTTAAGCGATTTAGAGCAGTAGTGTCCATTAATTTTTGATCAAAATCGATCTTTTTATATAAATGTCCGAAGGGTTTAAAGTAACCTTCTTTTTTTTGCTCTGAGGCTCAGTATTAGATATTTCAGATTCATGATTTTCTTGGCGATCGACTCAAAACTGCTTTGCGATCGACGTTATGGACACCACTGCTCTAAGATCTTCTTCGTTTATGTCAGTAAAGGTGTCAATATCTTTGAGTCTCTGACTCGTCGTTGCAAAATCGACAAGTTTGATCCTCAATTTGTCCAATATTGAAAAGGTCGTGTTATATAAAAATATGAAATCTGAATCTTTAGACCAGCGAAGATTCTCAACGTAAAAAAAAAATTACACGTTGGGTACCGAACTCTACAAAAATGACTCTCCGAGGGAATGTTTGCAGATGATGTGGTTTTAATGGCAAAGGTGATGTGGCGAAAAATTTGAAAATTTTGAATAAAATTTCAGAATATGGAATGAAAATCAACAAAAACAAAATTAAGGTGATGGTGGTAGGGAAGGAAGATGAACCAGTTAGCATAAAGATAGATGATGTATTCTTGGAACAGGTTAGATCATTTCAATATCTAGGAGTAATAATACTGTGTAATCGAAAAATGAAATTTATATTAATAATAGAATTGAGAAAGCAGTAAAAGTTTACCATGCCATGTACTTTAACTTTTTTGGCCAAAGCAAAAATATCACGGAAAAACAAAAATGAAAGTGTTCAAAACAATCTATAGGCCTATATTAACTTTTGGGTGCGAGATGGCTGCTAACAAGACAGTAGAAGAGTAAAATACAAGCGACTGAAATGAAGTATCTGAGTATCATAAAGGTGTGGCCATGTACAAATAATGAATAGTAATAAACCAATGAAAAGAGGTTTGGAAAGTCAGAGTGTATGACAGAAATAGACACTTAATACGAAATGCTCCTCACAGATTAAAATATTTTAATTACAAACGTATATATAGCTTAATTCATTAATTGGTTTGGAAAAGAAACAACATTTCCGCAGAAGCAACCTCGAATTGCAAAACATCTCATAGAAGGACAACGAAAACTCGTTAACGTTCTCCTACAAAAATAGATGACGAAAATGTATGTTTATACACCCCAAGCTATCGTATTTGTTTTTGCAGTCGACTTGCTAGGGATAAACTCCATACTGCTGTCACCCTAATGAAGCAATTTGGTTCTCTGTATTTCCTGGCTTCTCTATTGACGGCGATGTTTCATAAACAAACATCTCACACCTGTAAACAAGATTTAATTGGAGACGTAAACGTGACGTTCCGTCAGTTATCTTGATTAAAAGTATCATCGATATTAGTAAATTGAAATTTTTCTTGAGCTTTCTTTAATGTATTTTTTTGATGTCAATGACATTATCGTCTTATTTGCAAAACATTCGAAATAGCAGAAACTGCAGAGGTTGTGCGACAACTTCCCGAAATTTATTCTTTCAAATTTCCTTGTTTAATATTTTTATTATTTATTCCTCCTCAATCTTCGTTCCTAGAGGAGAATTTATTGCAATTTAGAGGAGATTTATTGTAACTTAAGCCCTCTAAAAGTTTAGGGCATCTAGATTTGCTCTTAATGAATTATATTACTCCAAAGTCTTATTCCTTTATGTCAGTTAGTATTAGGCAAATTTTGGCAAAAAATTTTGTATTTTAGACAAAATCTGGAGACGCAGCCACACAGAATATGTTCAGTAGCTCTGACTTGTTGCAAAGTCGACAAGTTTGTTCCTCAGCTTGTTGAATATTGAAGAAAAAGTAGTTTATGAACGTGTGGCCGTTAATGAGACTTCAAGATAAAGCCTACTTAAATTTTAAAAAAAACTAAAAATCCACATCATTTTGATTATTATTAATCTTTGAGAAATTTTACCAACTCGTCCGTGCTTCGCGAAAAGTGCGCATTTCTTACACACCTATTTGCTGGAAACGATTCTCGTAAATTATGGAGTTCTATTAAATCCCTGGGTGTTACTCCTATCGGACCTATCAAATCATTTCGGACACTTTGGGTACACCTAATCAAATGAATTGTTATTTTCAATCGACACAGATTAATTCCTCGGGTGATCGTGATTTGCAAGATTTTTATAATACCCTATTTTACCCTTGACATCAGAAAAGGAAATTGCTCAGCTAATAATTTCCATTAAAACGGAATCAATTGGTAATGATAAAATTAGTAAAAAAATGCTATACTATGTTGTCCAACAATTTTTCCTTACTTATGTCACATCATGAATTTTTGTTTGGAATTTTCCGTGTTTCCTGACCAATGGAAGATTGCTTTGATAATGCCTATCCCCAAAAATAAAAACCCTTCAGGTCTGAAAGATATTAGGCCCATCAGTATTTTACCCATTCTATCAAAAATCTTAGAAAAGCTTATTGCCGAGAGGTTAAGAGCTTTTGTCACAGAAAATAATAACCTAAACAGTCTGGGTTCCGTCCTGGCTTCAATTGATGGCTGGATGTCACTGACGACGTATTGATGGATGTCTCATTGCACTTGTTTTATTGGACTTTTCAAAAGCATTCGACACGTTACATCACAAAACTTTATTTTCGATCTTACATTATATAGGGTTATCTGATTCAGCCATCTCTTTGCTCAAATGTTACCTTTGTAATCGATTTCAGTGCATGACCCATAATGGTTTATACTCAGATTTTTTAAGTGTTCTGTCGGGTGTACCTCAGGGTTCTGTCTTCGAGCCTTTATTGTACCTGATTTATACGTTTCAGCTTTGATACTCAAATATATTATAGCTTTGAATCTGACGAAGTGAATATCACAGTGTATAGGATAAATACTGACTTGGACAATTTAGCAGTATATCCTTCTCGGTTCTGTCTAACGGTTATTTTTGGGCCTAGCGGTGGCAAATTGATAGATGACTTACGTTTGTCAAACAATTTTCGTCTGGTTCTGCAAGGTGCTAGACTACCGACTTCCTCTGAAACTTGCAATTTTGGTGTTATTATAGACTCTCCTCCGAGGTTCAAAAAACATATTACATACTAAGCTTGTTAACTCGGCTTATTACACTATGAAGCTATTTTATAACAATCGACATAATGCTAGACCGCTCACTTATGTAAAGCACTAGTGCTCTCATATTTCAAGTTTAGCGATGCTCTTTATTAATCATTGATGCTGATGATATTCGTTTCATATTTGGCATTAGAAGGTACAAGAGGATATTGCATACTTTGGGGTGGGTGGGTTGGTTGGTTGATTATGTTGCGACGTAGGGAGTTACATTCTGCATCTTTATTTCATAGAATTATTATGCATAAATCTCATCCTTATCTTTATAATAAAATTATGTTTAGAACCAATGTCCATAACCTTAACATTAGACACAGGTATACTTTAACAACACCTAAACATAGAAGGTAAGACTGACTCGATTCTTTTTGGCGCAGTATTTATGCTGTAATTTCTTTTAATTTTTATTATTGTTGTCAATGTTTATTATTTAGTTTTATTTTTATTATTGTAGTATTGCTCTTTTTTTTTCTCTAAGTCAATAAATATGTTTATTATTATTATTATTTGCTGAGGCATAAAACCATACTCTTCGCTTGTCCGTGTCCTGGAAATTTTTTGCAGTGCAAGACTACCTTTAAATCCTCCCATGTATTAATCACCTGTTTTAAGTGGCTTTTTGTAGTCCACAACGAGGGTCCAATAAAGGGCGTCCTCGCTACCTCGTATGGCCAACTTGTCCGCCTTTTCATTACTCATAATGTTTTTGTGACCTGAAACCCACCATAGGATAACTTCATTATACCCTTGCGAGTTTTCTTAGGTTATCGGTACATTCTTGAACCGGTGCGGATACACACGTGTAGGCCTGAATTGTTTTTATTGTGGTCCTACTGTCTGTAGAGATGTTTTCTGTCCCTTCTCAAGGTTATTATTATTATTGCTGCCGGGTTGAGGGGAGCGGCCGCTCTCGTTACCGCGACCTATAAGATCTATTGTAACTTTAGCCCTTCAAAGGTTTAGGGTAAATATAGGTCCTTGATGAACCTTAGTATTGCCCTGAGGTCTTGAACCTTTATGTCGGTAGGTGTTAAGAGAGTTTTACCGAACATTTATATGTATAAGTTCAGCTATTCTGAATCTTGAATCCGTTTTTTGTTAGGGTGTTCATCAAGTCATCAACTATCAGGCACCATAATAGAGGTTCTCAAGGTTCAAAACGGTGCATCTTAATACAGCTAGTAAAATACTTACTCATTATAATGATGCTTTTCGTCATAAAAAGTTTATATTCCGTCGCTATTTAGATCGTACCTGAAAATGTTAAAAGGTGATGAATAAATGGAGATTCGTAATAACATAATTGGCTTAGTCAAAATAGAAGAGATTCTAAATCATTTGGGATATTCCGTGTATTTTTATACGGTGGATTTGTCTTTTTCAACACCCAACAATTCAAACGGATTAATTTTTGAAAAAGAAATTGTGGCCATCTATTAACTTATTTATAAACTATATCCTTATTCTATATTTTTTTTTTTTAAATAAAGATTTCATCCTCAATAAATTAATAAATCCAATTAATTTAATTTCAATTTATTCTAAATAATAAATTATTCACATAAATCCATCTCGAACTTCGATTTTTGAACTCTTATCATGTGACATCATCCCACAATGCGTTTAATATGACATAACCTCAACCCGGTTTGATTTTTAAAACCTTTTTACAAATAAATACCAGAAAACAATCAAAAATGAACTCAACAAACGTTGCCGTTAGAAACCTCAGAACTCGTATGTTTGACAAATTCAGGCAAGTCTCAAAAGCGGCTTTCAGCAATAAATTTTTGTTATGGACTAATGTGACTCTCTCCTTCGGTCTTTCTGGGACTGGAGACGTTTTGGAACAACAATATGAAATAGCTACAGGTGAAATAAATAAATGGAACGGCACCAGGACGAGAAATATGGCTATTACTGGCATTACGGTGGGATTTGTCAGTCATTTTTGGTACAATATCCTTGATAGAACTTTACCGGGGTATTCATTAAAGATTGTAGCCAAGAAAATTTTAGTGGACCAAATGGTCGGATCACCAGCTAATATAGGAACTTTTTTTATAACACTCGGTGTGGTGGAACGAATGAGTTTAAACGAATTTTATGAAGAGGTGAAAGAGAAAGCATGGAAACTTTATGTTGCCGAATGGTTTGTTTGGCCCACCGCCCAATTTATCAACTTTTATTTTTTACCAAACAGGTATAGAGTTCTTTATGATAACACTATATCTTTAGGGTACGATATTTATACCTCACATGTGGCTAATTCTGGGAGAAATAAAGAATTAGTTAAACAATATAGTTGATGAGTTTAAAATTTTGTCTAAAAAAATCTGTGATTATAGGCATTAAGTAGAGAAATATTTAAGGCACTGCCTCTTTATGTTTTATATTGATGTTGATTTACTTTTTGTTGTAATTTTCTACCCGAATTGTATTAATTTATATATTCATATTTTGAATTGAGGTTATGTTATATTCAATACGCTTCACATTAACAAATAAATGTTAATTTGTTAACAACACATAAAGCAAATAGAACTTAAAAATAACTTTTTCTATTAAATAATTAAAATCCTTTAATAAATCGTTTTTAATACTTACTCAAATCCTTAAATCGAATTTAAATTAATTCCTCGACATCGATGACATTTCATTTTTCGCCCTCTATGAGTCAATTGATACACTAATAAATTGGTTTTAAAATATTGACGTTAATTATTTTTTAAATAATATTGAATCATATTTTTAATAATATTTAATTTTTTAATATTTAAAGGTTATTAATTTTGTTTTGTATCAATTATATTTTTAAAAAAAGCTAATTTAGGTTGGTTACCATTTATGACTACATTCACACTTATTTATTTTAGTCCCTTATTAAATCACATTTTTCGAAAATAACCTCTTAAAATAAGTCTTTTAAACATATAATATTCTTAAGTACTAAAGAATACTTACTCAAATCCTTAAATCGAATTTAAATTAATTCCTCCAAACCAATGACATTTCATTTTTCGCCCTCTATGAGTCAATTGATACACTAATAAATCGGCTTTAAAATTGACGTTAATTATTTTTTAAATAATATTGAATTATATTTTTAAGAATATTTAAAGGTTATTAATTTTGTTTTGCATCAATTATATTTTTAAAAAACGCTAATTTAGGTTGGTTACCATTTATGACTAAATTCACACTTATTTATTTTAGTCCCTTGTTAAATCACATTTTTCGAAAATAACCTCTTAAAATAAGTCTTTTAAACATATAATATTCTTAAGTACTAAAGAAGATGTCAGAAAAAGATAAAGCAAAAGTAAATCAACCGAAAAATATACCAAAAGATAGCCAGGTAATTACAGCAATAATGAAAGAAATGGGAATAACCGAGTATGAGCCAAAAACAATAGTACAACTAACCGAGTTTGTCTACAAATACGGAACATCGATTTTAGAAGAGGCCCGAACCTACGCGAACAATTCAAAAAAGAAAATCGATCTTGATGATGTACGATTAGCTTTGCTCCTTTCAACAGAAAGTATGTTTACCATGCCACCATCGAGAGAGGTTTTATTGGAATGCTCCAGGAATAAGAATCACTCACCTTTACCATTAATCAAGCCACATTGCGGGTTGCGACTTCCTCCAGACAGACATTGTTTATCTTCCACAAATTACATATTAAAAGGAAATCAAAAGAAACACAAAATCAACTTTACCATAGCCAATGCGAGTCCTCCAATGAAAGTGGCGACCAAGCAAAACATCAATTTCATAAAGAGAACGAATGCAATCGGAATTAACAAGCAAACGGTGACAATACCGAAACCAATCACTAAAATCAGTACAAATGTGGGTGGAATGCAACCGCAAAAAACCGTTTTGAAACCTAAAATTCAAATTACACAAAACATTAATGTTACTAATTTGGAAAGTCCTATGGATATCGATTCTGGAAATGGGGGGAAAAGAAAACGGATTGATGATGATCTCGATCAAATGTAATAAATTAAAAATTAAAAAAATTTTTTGTTTTATTTTTTAATAATTAGGAGAGGTTAAGGTTTTTATGGTAATAATAAAACGCTATCTTTAATAAAGTCCAATTTCTATAACTCGTTTTATTTTTCTTATTTCATTTAGTTATAAAATTAAAGATTTAAAATTGTTTTTGCAATATGGATGAAAATATGATTATTAACCCAATAAAGTCAATTTCCTTTTATACTCTTTTCCAGACGAACTTTAAGCGTTTAAAAAGTATCTGGGACAACTTCACCATCTTATTAGCTGTATATTGAGTTTCTTCTAGCCATGTAGGAAGTGACATTCAATTCAAGTTTATTCAAAATCTTTGAGATTTTCCAGAAAACCAGCTACAATAACGCCAGTGTCTCTTTATTGAGGCGAATATTTTTTTTTCTCATTTCGTTTTTTAATTGACAGTGTTATCGTATTGAGTAGCGTCTTGAAAAGCCGGTTTAGCGCCAATTTATCAACTAATTGGTGGTACAACAATTCTTAGGCAAAATGTAGAAGTGACTTCGAATTTGTTCCTGAAAAAGACACGTCAAACACTTTTTCAAAATATTGTTTAATGATTAATTTATTTAATGATTTTCTTTCCATTTTATGTTTGATGTAAATAAAATTCGTTTTCGCACTTTAAATGGATTTTTTATTTTTATTATTTCTCTACCGGTTTCGCTATTTGTTATAGCATTATCAGGAGAATACGTCAATGGTTACAAAAGCATCTTACTAAAGAAGTTACTGGGCATTGCTTTTTGTGTTTACACTTTTAAATTGCACTGAGAATTTTGTAAAATTATGATTAGAGAGGATTAAATTTTGTGAAGCGTTGTGGCGTCTTTTTCAAAAGACGCACGGCTTAACCCAAAAGTTTCTTAGTGTAGTATTAGTTCTAGTGACAGTGTTACTACCTATTAGTTTTAGTTTAATTAATTTCACACCTTCACATATGTCTAATAAGCCTGGGGTTTGCAACTTTTTGTCAATTGCATTAAATCTTTCCCAAATATTTCCTTCCCAAAACACTGTTAAAACTGCGGTTACTAGCTTTTTTAAATTATTATGTATATTCTGTGCTTCTTTTCGAAAATCGATTCATTTGTATTCTCACTAAACCTTTTTATTATTGCCATAACTATCTTTTAACACTCTAACACCATCATAATGGCAAGACCACCTAGTTTGGCTCCAACTTTTGATTTAAAATTTAAATTTTTCTTCACTATTTAAGAGCTCCTATTTGTGGGAAGAAGCAGAAAAGAAGACATATACTTGTTAAACTATTCCAAACAAATTGAAGTCTTACTGCTTCCTTATCTACAAGATTTAGGGAGTGAGCAGCACATGGCACATAATCAGCATATTTATTGTTTCCTTTGATATGTGCTTGTAACCCATTATATTGACCGAACATATTTGCAGCGTTGTCAAATGACTGCCCTCTGCAATTAACCAGAGGCAGTCCACGTTCTTGTAGAGAATTAAGCAAATATAATCCAGTGTAACTGCAAATTTTGATAAAAGAAACACACCTTTCGTACACTTTTCTTTTTTATTATTGTGGGACAAATCTGACATCAAGTCCATCACAATAGAGTAGTTGTATCATCGTTATTTATATTATTATTTGTTAAATGAGTCAAATTCTGCTATTAATTCTAAAGCCTCCATGAAATTACCGTTGTGAGGAGAGCCAAATATTTTCTCGTGACCCCTCAATGCTAAGCCTCCCACATTTAAATATTTAACTACTACGATGACTCGTTTTAGGACTTCATGATAATAATTGGTTACTTCTCTTAGTTGTTCTTGCAACTGCTTGTCAATAACAGACTTATTCTCCTTACGTGTTATCCAGACTAGCAATGATTTTTTGTCTTCATTAGAGTTTTCGTAACTTCCTAAACTAAACTATATGTTTCCAATCAGAGAATCTAGTTGAATACTGAGAAGGGGTTTTAGAAAAATGCTTATAAACTAGACAAAACACAGTTGCCTTACTAGTAGAATAACATAGCCAAGATCTTTCTAGTAACTNAGCTGTATATTGAGTTTCTTCTAGCCATGTAGGAAGTGACATTCAATTCAAGTTTATTCAAAATCTTTGAGATTTTCCAGAAAACCAGCTACAATGTCTCTTTATTGAGACGAATTTTTTGTTCTCATTTCGTTTTTTAATTGAGAATGTTATCGTATTGAGTAGCGACTTGAAAAGCCGGTTTAACGCCAATTTATCAACTAATTGTTGTACCACCTCTTAGGCAAAATGTCGAAGTGACTTCGAACTTGTTTCTGAAGACGGTTGCAACATGGCATTCGAAACGTCAAACACTTTTTCAAAAGACGAACGGCTTAACCCGAATGTTTCTTGGTCTAGTGGTAGTTCTAGTGATAGTGCTACTATTAGTTTTAGTTTAATTAATTTCACACCTTCACATATGTCTAAGTCTGGGGTTTGCAAGTTTTTGTCAACTGCATTAAAGATTTTCTCCCAAAACACTATTAAAAATGCGGTTACTAGCTTTTTTAAATTGTTATCTATATACTGAGCTTCTTTTCGAAAATAGAGCTTTTCATTTATATTCTCACTAAATTTTTTTATTATTGCCATAACTATCTTTTAACACTCTGGCACCATCATAATGGCAAGATCACCTAGTTTGGGTCAAACTTTTGATTTAAAATTTACATTTTTCTTCACTATTTAACAGCTCCCATTTCTGGGAAGAAGCAGAAAAGAAGACATATACTTGTTGAACTACTCCAAACAAATTGATCTTAACTGTTTCCTTATCAACAAAATTTAGGGAGTGAGCAGCACATGGCACATAATATTGTACCCACTATATTGACCGGACATATTTGCAGCGTTGTCAAATGACTGCCCTCTGCAATTAGCCAGAGGCAGTTCATGTTCTTGTAGAGAATTAAGCAAATATAATCCAGTGCAACTGCAAATTTTGATAAAAGAAACATTTTCCTTTTTGATCATTGTGGGACAAATCAGACGTCGAGTCCATCACAATAGAGTAGTATTTCGCATCATCGTTATTTATATCACAAATAATTGTTTTTATCACCTGTTTTCCCATTATCTCTATTATTTGTTCGTAAGTTGTTTTAGATAAGTATGAAGTAGAAGCCTTTGGTCGCAGCTCTCGCTGTAGGATATGATGACGCAGGAATGGATCAAATTCTGCTATTAATTCTAGAGCCCCCATGAAATTACCGTTGTGAGGAAAGCCAAATATTTTCTCGTGACCCCTCAATGCTAAGCCTCTCACACTTAAATATTTAACTACTACGATGAGTCGTTTTAGGACTTCATGATAATAATTGCTTTCTTCTTTTAGTTGTTTTTGCAACTGCTTGTCAATGACTAGCAATGATTTTTTCTCTTCATTAGAGTTTTTGTGACTTCCTAAACAAACTCCTATATGTTTCCAATCAGAGAATCTAGTTGAATACTGAGAAGGGGTTTTAGAAAAATGCTTACAAACTAGACAAAACACAGTTGCCTTACTAGTAGAATAACATAGCCAAGATCTTTCTAGTAACTGGCCATTTCTAATTTTTTTTCTGAAGTGAGTATTTGAAAATGATCGATTTTGGTCTTTAAAGAGTCTTATTAATTTTGGGTATACATTTTTGGGATCTTTATTTTGAAAATTAGTCATCTAGGTAAGACATTGGTCATGTGAGTCATATTTTGGCGCTATTTGTTTGTATCGCTTTTGGTTTCGTTGCTATGGTAACCAACATTGTTATCTTAAATGGAACGCATATGTTTTTTTGCATACTTTGATAGAGAATATTTCCTTCTATCTGATGAACATGTCATATCATAAGAAAAAATGCATTTTCTCAAAATATGTCTTGATGGGGCCGGGGCCATGAAAGACCAAGATCGACAAATCAGCACTTCATGAGACTCTCTGCACAAGAAAACTAATAAAAACGAGTAATTTCTGGTAATAGAATGATAGAACATGGAAAAACTAAAATTCTGACAAATGCAGAAAAGGTTCCAAAAATATATTACTAAAAAGGTGAAAGAAATAGAACTAGATACATAACCAGCAGAAGAACAGTGGGACAACATGATGCACAACAAAATGGCAGAAAAAGATCAACTGATAAATATGAAATTTTCGTGCGTGGAGGATGAGACACAACACTTTTCTGACGCGATGTAGCAGCTTTTTAAAGATATTATCCTCTTCGAATTAATCACAATACAAAGGTGAACTGAAAATGCAGGAAAAGAGACGTTGGAAAGACGCGGTGAGATTACACACGGGATTTTGGAACTTCGAAGTTGGAGAGGAGCACAAGTCTTTAGGTCCTTAGGCTGTTGTGTCATAGAAGAAAATAAAAATAATAATAAAATTTTTTATAGTAAATTTTTATTAATATTTTTTACACATCAACAATGCATTTTTTAGATAATCTCTTAATAATTCTTCTTTTTACCATAGCAAATATAAAAATATTTGACTCGTTACGGGTATATTTATAATTTACAAGGATATTTTTCGCTTTTATAACTAAAGACTAAAAACCGTCGCTTGTATACATATTTACAATATACAGGTGTTTATTTATTCATTTTTTTCTGTGGTACTAAACCATTTTTAATACATATTCTTTTTTTTTTAGTTTTTTTTTGTACTATTAGCGCTATTTTTAATTTAAATATCGTTTATGTAGGTAGAGCGATTGATATATTATAGGGTGGCGGGGAGAGGGCAACATTGATATAACAACGTTGATATGTTCACCGAAACTTATTCCGAAATCGTACCCAAAAAAGAGAAATAAAATTATATTATACATCAAACAAAAAAAATCTATTTAATAAATACATAATAATTAAATTAATTTATCTTAAACTACTTCTTATTTCTTTTACAAATGTTTGGACCTCTGTTTATTTATTTTCCTTTTTTTAGTTTTATAAATTTATTAATGGAAGAGATAAATTATTCGGTTATAACCTAATTAGTAAAAAAGGGAAAAAGAAAATGCCACCTAATTTATCACATATAAAATTTTTTTTTTCTTAAAATGTAACTTTGATATTGAAAGAAATAGAATTATCTTGTGATCAAAAATGATTTGGGGGTAAAAAGTTGTATCATATCTACGTCAATATAAACGAAGTTTTTTGTATATGAGTCATCTATTTTCAATATTGGCCATCTCTACAATTTGTCTAAACTTAAGTATAAATACCATTGAATCTACGCCTGTAAAACATTTCAAATCCGGACTATTTTATTTATAAAAATGGCATCGTCCGTCGAAATCTAATCATGTTGTAAAAAAAAACAACCTAAAGTGTTGTAGATGGCAAAAAGATTCCAATTTTGTTGAACACCTTAATAACAAAAAAAATAGAGTGGAAAGTGTACTAAAACGTTCTTTTGAATCAGGAGTGCAAAAGATTAACAATCTGTTATGAGGTTTATTAAATTTTTGAAAAGTCCTGGTTGATGTGTGTTCTAAATGTCTAGAACTGGAAATGACAAAAACAATTAATAACAATCGAGAGGGTTCACAGGATTCTTCACATTCCTTAAATATGAAAGAGTTGGAGTTCTCTTGCACTATCTTTTGATTGCCAAAAAAGTATGTCACTTCACAAAGTTCAAGAGCAAAAAGCATATTTTAGTTAACAACGAAATATCATTGCCTGCAGAGTAGTTCACAAACCACAAATAATGTGTATATGTATATTTCTTACTGGTATGAAATTGAATGACCAAAAGGTTCCAATGAGATTGTTAGCGCCGATGGCTATGGTGGCCAAAAATAAAAATACCATTCTCATGTACATGAAACGGCTCCATACTGGAAAAAGATGCCTGATAGAACGTTCCTATCTAAAAACGAAAGAGCTACATCGAGATTTAAAGAATCTAAGGTACTATCGGCTTCACATGTCATGAACCATAAACAGAGATGCGAAAGGGGCTTTACCTGCTTTGGGTCGAGTGGGTAGAACTGAGAAATGCGCTTTTCGCATCTTTGTCAATGGTGCATGACATGTAATGACGATATTACGATTGGTGTTATTGTTTAGTGCAAATGTAATTGGAGATTTAAGCTAAACCACTCTTAATATACATGTCCGAAAATCCAAGAGCTCTAAAAGGAATAAATAACAGTTTTGGTTTAATAATCAATTTTGCTATGAAATGAAAGAATACTTTTGGAAGAAAAATTTGGTTCAAAAAATTCTGCATCTCTTAGACAACGCTCCCTAATATCCAGCTAATATATCAGAACTCTCTGAAGCTGTAAAAATTGAATATCTATGTAAACATACAACCGCATTATTCAGCCCTTTTCATTTAATCCTTTTATTGCTGTATCTATAGCAGTAAACACAAGCAGACCTCAAGTAGTTAGACCTCAAACACAAAACAAAGAAGGTCGGGCTAAATATCATACGTATTAGTAGGAGTAAATATGATTCAAAATAGCAGTGAAGAGGCCAAAATAAAGAGAAGAGGCATCATGGGATATAAAGCATACTTTGCCATGAACCATACATTTTGATCAAAGGACATCTACCGAAATACAAAAATGTGTTCAAAAATGTATAAAACCATAATCATGTGAGATATAGGCTAGCTTTGAAAAGAAAATTCTAAGAAGAATATTAGGAGGGTAAGAATTGACGAGGAATGGAGAGTGAGGTTACTGCACTATCTCAGTATGCAAGGCTCTAACGGTTGCGATGGGTTGCCGAACCTTAAACGGAAGAATGCAAGGAAACAGGAGAACGAGCAGACCAAGGACACGGTGGAATAATGGAGGATGTCAAAAACCTGTGTTTCTAGGAATGATCAGAGAGGAAATTTGAAGGAAGCCAAGGTTCGAAGTTGGGCTGTAGCGCCATGTAGCTACAGCTACAAAGATTTCTATAACAGATTTTGAATGAAAAACACCATAAAGTTCCATAAAAAATACTACAAATAATGATTTATCGCTTCATTTTATAGAAAGGTATTTTCCAAGTATATTCCCAAGCAACTAATGAAATGAACCAATTTCAAAGCGATGTGTTGTGTGTTCTAAACATAAAATATACTTGGCATATTTGGGCAAATCTAAATATTTTCATTCTTAGAGTGTAAAATTACTTTCCAAGTATCCTAGTTTCGAGAATATGCTCTAATTGTTCAAGACGTCCGAATCCGCAACACCGATTTTCATGTTTACTTACATGGCAGTATTAGAAACTTCATTGGCATTGAAAGGGTTGAAGCTTATTATTTGTATTATTAGTTTCATTAAATCGGTTTCAGTGATTTTGAAGTTTCTTCAAAATCATGGAATAAACTGAAAGTCATAAACTGTCTGATTGTTACTCCTGCAACTAGCAACAGTAGCTCTGAATTTCCAGAAACTAGACAAAACGTATTAATTGCAGCAAAAGAAGTTGAGTTTGATTGCTTTGAAAAGGGCTGACCATCTTTTTGAAAATGACCCAACTAAGAGTGTAGTGTAAACATTTCTTGTGGTAGTAATATCGTTATATGGTCCTATAAAGAAGTGAAGAAAGGTACAAAGCAACAAATTTTGGACAAGTAATTGGAGGAATGCTACCAAAGATGACTCAAAGCTACCAGGATAATGGCATTTTAAACTTAACCCGGCTAAAATAATTATTTTCAAAAAAAAACAACTTAGCATGCAGAGATTAGGAGTGACAAAGTGATGATAAAAAAATTTATTAACATCCTAAACACTTTTTTACATTGTGAAAAGAATTGAGCAGAAAAACTGCGAAACTCAGCAGCCACAAATATAGAAGAGGAGGACCTAAGATGTGAGGCATTAGAAGAAGTGAACACTGTAGTTTAGTTTAATGTGCATCACCTGTGTTCTTAACCCTAAGCTAAACTATCGTAAAAATTACGAGTTCAATAAAAATATATATACAGCAATCTGGCGCTGAATAAGAAATAAAACTAGAACTAACATTAGACCTAGAACTAGAAAGTTTCTTAACCCGAATTTTCTAGTTCTAGTGTTAGTTCTACTTCTAACAATAAACTAGGGGACTTTAAAGATGTCCAAAAGTGTCCAAGAGCTTTCTAATGGTCTCTATAATTATCAAATAGTGTTTAAACGCTTTCTAGACCGTGATAAAGATTTCCAGATGATTTTTAAAGATGTCCAGAAGCGTCCAAAAACTTTTTAATGATTTTTCGCTCGTCTTTCCAGATGGCTAAACCCGAATGTTTCTAGCTCTAAGTCTGATGTGTCAGTTGAATAAAGATATATTATAGAGCAATCTGGCTTTGAGTAACAAATAAAACTAGAACTAACACTAGACCTAGAACTTGAAAGTTTCTTAAGACGGCTAAACCCGAATTTTCTAGTTCTAGTGTTAGTTCTACTTCTGATAATAAATTAGGGGACTTTAAAGATGTCCAAAAGTGTCCAAGAGCTTTCTAATGGTCTCTATAATCATCAAATAGTGTTTAAACGCTTTCTAGACCGTGATAAAGATTTCCAGATGATTTATAAAGATGTCCAGAAGCGTCCAAAAACTTCGCTCGTCTTTCCAGATGGCTAAACGCGAATGTTTCTAATTCTAAGTCTAGTGTGTCAGTTCAATAAAGATATATTATACAACAATCTGGCGCTGAGTAACAAATAAAACTAGAACTAACACTAGACCTAGAACTAGAAAGTTTCGGGTATAGTCGTGCGTCTTCAGACTTAGTTCAATAACAACATACAATCTAGCACTATCTAGTGCTTACTAGCATTGTCACTAGAATTAACACTCTATCTAGCACTAAAATCATTCGGCTTTAATCGTTCGCTACCTTGAAAGTTTCGGTGCATGACTTTCAAAACCTATCACAAAGAATTTGTGACAACATCGCGGAAAGTGCTGTGTCGATTGCGTTGAGGACTTGTAATTTCCAAATTTGACTAAAACATGTTTTCAATGATATATTTTGACTAATTGTATTCATTAATGTCAAAATTTGTATCTAGAAGAATTTATTATTAAATTATTTTTCCAGTCGTAAATTTTACGATAGTTTAGCTTTCTAGGGTTCAGTTTATTTTATCTATGAAATGGCCCGTATTGAGACTAAATGATTCATATCAATAAATTATTTCATAATTTAGAATAATAATAAAGAATTTTAAGTGTTAACTTTTAGCTGCTAACTTCAAGCATATTCATTTTAATTCATTTTTGATCACACAGTAATAAACCTTGAATTAAAACTTAAACGTAAAGCGCAACATTTGATAATTACCTAAAAAGTAAAATTCTATTAGGAAAAAGTATTAATAAGACTGTACACAAATAAATTTATATCACCCAGAACAATTCAAAAAGAAAAAATAATAATAATAAGAAAAATTTAAAAATTAAAGTCTGTTTTATCAACGGTACAGAAAAAAAAACCAACAATTTCGAACCGTTATTAAAACAAATTAATTTCTATAAGATATTTACCGGGATCATAATTCATCTTTTTTTTCCGTTCGAATTTTTTTGTCATCACTTTCCCCTTCTGGAAGATATTGTTCATTTATACTTTCCTGTGGTAATATCACTTTATCAACGTTATCACTTGTATCGGTTGTAACAACTAAATCATCACCAGTCCGCCGTTTTAATTCGTCCATTACGTTCTTTTCGATTTGGGTAAAAAACGCTTGAAAAATTGTATTTAACGATTCCATTTTTTTCCCATCGTATTGATGATCCGTAGGAACACTTTTAATTAAATCATCATCTTTCTTATTAAACTCGATGTTTAATTCGCCTAATAACCATTCGGTTTGTTTGAAAACATCGTGCGTTTTCAATTCTTCGCTGGTTACACCGCTTAAAGTCTGATAATAAATTTTTAAGATATTAACCGGAACGAACAATTCTTTGCTACTTTCCGAACTAAAAATTGGCAGTAATAGTCCTTTACGGATTTGACTCCATTCGGGAGTCGATTCTTCTTCTTGATTCTCTTGGTTTGATTCTTTTTGTTTTTCTTCTTCCGCTTTTTCGTAAGTAACCCGTATTTTATCTAAACCAACGTCAGCCTTGAAATTACCAAGTTTGATGGTTTTAGTGAAAGCGATTCCGGTGTGTTTATTTAAAAATTCTTGGACGGATACTTTTAGTTTTTGAAACATAGATTCTTCCTCTTCATTCGGTGGGTAAACGTTATGTTCCGATTTCCATTCACCAATTGTTATTTCAACTTGTGGATCTTTCGATAACGTTAATAAAAGCTTTGAGGCATCTTGAGAAAATAAAAACACTGTTGGGATTTTGATATCATCCGTTCCATCACCCGACATTGAAAATAACGGTGAATTTTCTACTGTACTTCCCGGAGTGTTATCGATAACGATCGCCGCGACAGCCCCCGCTTTTTGAACTCGACGAGCTTTATCGACAAACATACAATCACCTCGCTCCATAATCGCTATTTTACCTTTGATTTGGTTATTTGAGGTTGGTGGTAAATCTGTGCATGCTCTTATCGGATTCACTAAAATCGTTGTGGCCGTTACCTTTTCAGTACCTCGCAAATTTGTTCCAAAATGTGAAGGACCCGCTTGAAGAGTCATCGTTTGTCGCTCACCGTTTGTTAATTTTATGGGGAATGAAACTGCTTGAGGTGCAGCGTCACCTTGTTGTTGTTGTAATTTTGATAATTCTACCATTTCTTGCATAAAAAGTAAACCTTCTTCTGCATCGGCAGATGAACGAGCCTGAAAAAATAATAGAGTTAAAATTTTACGAAACTAAAAATGTTCCTTTTATTACTGCAAACTGCTGTTTAGCAATACAAAAAAAATAATGGCAATAATAACACAGTAGGAACCCGCTCAATAGTAGGTCCAAACAAAAACCATGTTAATGCATGGTTATGACAAACAATAACATTTTTGCATACTATAATAAATGAAAGATAGGTACGTTCTTTGTTCCGACATGGATAGTTCTTCGCTTCAATCTTTTAATAGTTGCCCGGCGCAACAGTACTTTGCAGGTACTTGGAACTTCGCTGGGCAATTATTTCTTTTACAGTAAGCATATCTGAAATCGCTGCAGCTGTAAAATGTTTGATTCACTAGCGGAGCCCCAAACAATAACATTATTATACAGGTTGCTTTCGTAAGTCGTGGCATAATTTTAATCCCAAATACTAGATACTAGAGTGAAAATGATGACGATTGGTGTAAAAATGTTTGATCTAAATCCGTAAATGGCTAAGATATGGGATTTCAAAGTAAAGAAATTTTCAAACATTTTCTGAAATATTTTCAATATGGTTTGTCTTACAAAGATAAAATTTGGCAAACAATGCAATGTTATCATGAAAAATCGTTTAAGATCAGTTTTGAAAGTATGCAACCACGGGATCAATGCTATACAGGTGTTCACAAAGGTTATTTCCTTTAAACTTTTTTATTATGTCATAAACCCCTAAAATTTTACAACTTTTGTTTAGATGCATCGTTTTCTAGTTATTCTAACTCTAGCAGTAAAGCCACTATCAAAACATTCTTCAGTCGGTAATAGTTGTTTAAAAATAACAAATAATTACAGTTTTAGTGAGCAAACTGATATGCTTTTAACGTTGGAAGAGTGTTTAGGTAATGCTAACGCAGTGGTGAGATGATATTGCAAATAACTGATGATACTGTTAATATCAACAGTTCGGATTTATTAAATGTTTGCCACGACTTATAGGAACAGCCTGTATAGTATAAGAAATGAAAGATAGGTATGTTCTTTATTCCGACATGGATAGTTTTGGTAGGTCCTTTCGCTTCAATCTTTTAATAGTTAATGAAAATAAAAATTGCACTTAAACGATGATATTTATTGTATAAAAATTTAAAGATTTCTACCGGTTTCAAGAAATCGACATCAACGAATACAAACATACAGTAGGTCATACAGTTAAAACCGGTAGAAATCTAATTTTTATACAATAAATATCATCGTTTAAGTGCAATTTTTATTTTCATTAATTCACACGCTGATAAGGAAAATACACAACTCCAATTCTTTTAATAGTTACCCGGCGCAACAGATTTTTTGCAAGGCGGTTTGGAACTTCGCTGGGCAATTACTTCTTTTACAGTAAGCATATTGAGGTCTTGATGTAAGATGTAATTAGGTACAAAGCAAGGTGCGTTACATATTTGTTAAAGAACTTTCGACTGAAATCGTTGCAGCTGTAAAACGTTTGATTCGCTAGCGGTGCCCCATAATTGAACACCATATTCCCAAACAGGTTTCAGTATGGCAGTATATATAAGCAACTAATTATCTAGGCTGAGTTATGAGTTACTATTTATAAACCAGCGCATTTTCCTGTATAACAATCCTAGTTGGAGCCGTTTGATCCAAATATATTTTTTCCAGGTTAGGTGATGATCCAGGTAAATTCCTAGGTATTAGTAGGGCAGATTCCCTTTTTTAGAGTGAATGTGATATGAGTGGACTTATTCGGATTTATTTTTACCCGCCACATCAATACCAGCATCAATAAATGATATTGTAGGTTTTGGGATGCCATTTCAGGAGATGTATGAGTAGCCATAACTACAGTGTCGCCCGCGTATGTAACATTCATAGTGTTGTTTGTCATAGGCATATGTCGGCTGTGTATAGAAGATATAGAGTAGGCCCCAAAATACTACCTTGATGAACTCCAGCATGTATCGGTAGCAGTGACGAATATGCGTCATTTTGTTTAACGAAAAAGTATCTCTCCGTCAGATATGATTCCAACAATGTGCATACTGGATAAGGTAGATAAGTTTTAAATTTGGCTATAAGTCTAAAAAAGCTGCTGTTCAATATTTTTGACCTTTAGGGCATCTCTAGCTGATCTCAGTACTCTGTGCACTTATCCTATAATACTATGCTGTTTTCTAAACCCAAATTTCTAATTAGGAATTAACTTTTGGTTTACTATAGTAGACGCCACGAGAGCTGGCAGTAAATCATCGTTTTCCGCTCTTACAAATGCCATACGTAGTTCACAAACAGCTAGAGAGTAATGTGTGTTAGAAAGAGATAGCATTAGTTTAATATGTCTGCTGTACAATTCAAATGGCCACGTCGAAAAAGTACGTCTGTTCTTCTAAGGGATGTAACTCTATAATTATAACCTCAAATCGAAATGTCTTGTGAGCGTTGTCATGAATCTGTTAGTGTTTTCATAAGCTGAAAATGTTTTCTTTGAAAGGAAAATCATTAAATAATATCTTTGACAATGTTTGACATATAACCTCCATTACTAACATAACCTACATTTAAATGTATGTGGTGAAATAATCTAAGTCGTACGTCCATATCTTGATTCATACCATTTTTAAGCGATCTGTCACTGCCAGCTCTCGTGGTTTCTACTATATGATGCTTTCTTCAATAAGAGCTTTTCGAACATTTTTGAAAGCAATGGAAACAAACTTATTGGGCGGTAGGAAGTCACGTCGCTATTGATTTTATTTGATTTCAGCGTCATAGTTTTCTGGGAATGAACCTAGTCTTGCGATTGCGTTGAAGAATATGTTTAAGAACCAATCCGGTTATAAGATCGTAACTGGGCAATTTCTTAACTTTAAGGGTGTTAGTGAATTACAGAAGAGGTGCCCAGTGATGTTTCATTTAGTTCTCTATGCTGGGGTACTTAAACAAAGATTTTCTCTTCCATTTTTCTAATGGGCGTATTTAGATAGTTTATTTCTTAGCTTCCATATTGAATAATTTTTTTCCTTATTAAAGAGATTACTAAGGAAATGGCTAATGTTTTCGTTTTTGAAACGTTTTAGAGCTTCTTTCAACAGACGAGTAGCCCTACTCAGTTTTTGTTTTAGTATCAGGCGATCGAGTTGTCTGCCAGGTTTTTCTTAATATTCTTTTCTCTCTAATCATTTTGTTAATATCGCGTGGATAATGAATTACTTTATTATAATGCTTTAGTTGAGGAGTCGATATCCATGCAGCTGTTTGAACACATTTTGTGAAGTCATTTATCGCTCGTTTTCGATGCCAGTTTCATTTTTGAAAGGAATATTCAAGTTTACTGAGTTAACAATCGCATCCTACAAGGCTGTCTCTGTAGTTTGCAGGATGGGTTTCTTAGCAGTTAACACGCTTGACGTGGTCACTTCGTATTTGATGGGGAGAATAATAACGCAATGGGGATCTCTATTGCAGTAAGCTTTTGTGTGACCAAAATTTTGGCATCGCTGACATTGTGGTAAGTCTCTCTTAGGTTGAGGAGGTTCGACATCAACTACAGTGTTTAAAAGACGAGTTATTTGATACGTCTTTATTGTTTGAATTTGGAGCCGACTCAACATTCAATAACAGGAGGCAATTTTTATTGCTTCTATGACGTATGGATATTTGATACGCTATTAACTTTATGCCCAAGGGCCTCAATAGCAGTTTTAATAGAGTGCGGGAAATTAGCCCCCCATTTTTTGATTTTAAAATTTTTCACAGTTGTTCTAGATTGTTCTAGAGTTGTTCTACATTGTTGTTCTACAACTCGGCGAGAAAAACCAAAAAACTTTTGGAAAAATCAGATTTTCTTTGTTGTTCTGGGTTGTTGTAGTTATTGTTCTAGAAAATCAACATTATGGGGTACATCATTACGAAGTTGTAACTAAAAATAAGTTTGGCTGCGAAAATTTCTAGTTGGTTGCTGTGACCATAGTTTTTCTATCTTCCATTCCATATTACAAATGTATACTTATTATACCTAGAGCAATCTGGAACAGCTATTATTTTCAGTAGAACAACTTTATAAAGGACACTTTACTCATTGAAAATTAAAGTTGTTGGAAGTTTCAGTCAGTAATTCTTGCGCCAGTGGTTTTAAATTACACAATAAGGATTAAAACACATAGAACAATCTAAAATAACTCAAACTTTGCTCATTCAAATTGTTCTAGATGTGTTTTACGTTTAAACTAGAGAAAAAAAGGTTTTTCTGGTTACGTGGACATTAATTTTGCAAGATGTTGATAGATATAGAGTTGTTCTAGTGAAAATAATAGCTGGTCCAGATTGCTTTAGGTATAATAAGTATATATTTGTAATATGGAATTGAAAATAGAAAAACTATGGTCAAACCGTTTTTTCGGTTTTTTCTCGCCGAGTTTTTATTTTTTCTATTTGTCACTTTGGAACAATATAGAACAACTCTAGAACAACTATGAAAAATTTAAAAATCAAAAAATGGGGGCCAACTTCCCGCACTCGTTTTAATATATATATAATTACTACCCGATGGTAGCAGAATAATCATCAGAGTTATTTATTTGCAATTTAACCTACTCTTTGCTTAAACTCTTCGAAGTGTAATTATTGAAAGCCGTTTTATTAAATATTTTGATGAGGTTGTTAAAAAAATTTGAGGTTATGTTTGTAAAGTTTTAGGTTATGTTTATCTCATAAACGTCATAAAATAAACAAATTAATATTAAAAAAGTGGTGAAGATTAAATTATTTATATAAATACAAATATCAGATTTCGAAAATAAGCTTAAAAACATATTATAATAATTATAGTTCCACAATTAATTTTATTCGAAAATCATTTGAGGTTATGACAAATAAATTTGAGGTTATGTTTAATCCATAAACGTCGTAAGAAATGTCTAATATCGTTAAAGAAACGTATAAATCAGTTATAAAACACGTATTTGAAAATTTAAATGTTAAATCAGAAAATAAATCA